AGTGACTTTCCTGAGTACCCGTGCATGCACCTGCCATGATCTGGGACTGCTGAGGCTGGGGGCCAATCATGGCATCAAAACCCACTCAAAGGTGTTGTCACACTCACTCAAAAAATAAATAAACCCTTAAAAAATCTTTAAAATTATTATTGCTTGCATTAACCAAGCTATGTTAATTTAAATACAGTAATAATAAATAGCTATTTAAATTTTATGAGTCCATATAGTTTGCTATTAAAGCTGTCTTTTCCTGCTCTAATATATACCAATTAGTTAAGACAAAGGTCACTAAAATGTTATATATTTTCATGTGACTAACTCACAATGAAAGTTACAATTTTAAAAACTGCTATTTATCATTGCTCCTTTTTTTAATGCCTTATTTAAAAGCTCTACTCTTTCCAAGTACTCGCTGCTGAAAGCAAATAATGTTATAGCCTGTATAACTCAACAATAATGTTGTCATTACCAAAAACCACATTTTATTAAGTGCAGAAATCTAGGCTATAATAATTCAATGTTTTTGTTTTTGTTTTTTTTAAAAAAGGCAAATCTCCAGGGATTCTAAGTCAAAATGAGATTATAATCACTCACTGCTTCAGAATTATTATTTTAAAAACCTTGTTTGGTTTGTATATTTTTTAAGATTTCATTTTATTGGAACCAGCAGATGGCATAACAGCTATGTTGCTGGACTCCTATGTAGTCAATTGAGGTTCAAGTCCCGGATCCGGTGGCATAAACTCATGCCGGGTGCATGTATGTGAGTGCCAGAGATCCTGAGAGGAGAATGGAGGAGAAGGGATTGCAGCGTAGCCATCCCCCCCTCCCCTCGGGGGTAATTTCTCACTTTCTGTCTCTCTCTCTCTCTCTCTCTCTGTCTTTCTGGAGAGTGCACGCACCCTATAGCAAAAACTCCTCCCCCCCCAATAATATTTAATATTATTTATTATTATTCTTATTTTTAATTTGACTAGAGAGAGAGAGAAAGTGAGAAAGCAAGCCTCCAGGTCCAGGACTTGAACTGAAGTTGGCCATGTGGGAGTCTAGTGCCTGAACCACCACACCACCTGCTGGCCCTGGATCAGTTTGTTTTTAATCACATAAAGAAAACAGGCACATCTTCACAACTGATCAAATTAGAAAACTTCTAAAACTGTACAGGTTGGCGTAAGTCAGGATGATGTTACATGGCATGGCGCTATTAGCAATATGCTAAGGTAAGCGTCTAAGGTGGAAAAGGAATAGGGAGAAGGGCATACACAGCATCTGAACTTTAGTAACATCAGAGTCCTTCACATATACTGTCTTATCAATAAGGTATAAGGATTAATTTTCACCAAAACACAATCATTTCATTAAAAAAATTAAAAAGTCCAAGATCTTACTTTGGCAATGTTAAATGTAAAATACTTTCATGCAAACTTGGATGACACAAATAAATTCACATTTGATGACCTTTGCTTAGCATGAAACCAAACAATGACGTTATGTCAAATGTAACAAGCTTATAGAGCAGTTCCTATGCAGCTACTGGTTTAATTATGTCATGTTACTTTTGGGGACCAACAGTTGGCGTAATGGTTATGTTGCTGAACTCCCATGTAGCCGACCGTGGTTCGATTCCTGGACCCAGTGGCTTAAACTCATGCTGGACAGGTGTGCATGTATGCCCAAGATCCCAAGAAGAGAATGGAGGAGAAGGGACTGCAGCGTGACCATCCCCCCAGGGGGTGATTTCTCGCTTTCTATCTCTCTGTCTCTCTCTTTTTGGCGAGTACACGCGCCCGATAGCAAAAACCTCTCCACACACACACACACACAAAAAAGTCATGTTACTTTTTTTTTTTGGAGAGATTTTCGCTATAGGGCGCGTGCGCTCGCCAGACAGAGAGAGACATAGAGACAGAAAGCGAGAAATCACCCCCCGGGGGGATGGTCACGCTGCAAT